CGCGACGCCAGACCGCGCACGCGGCGGGTCCGTCAGCAGCGGCCGCCCACCCCCATGGACCGCTGCAGGCAAGGAGGCTGCAAGGGCAGCCCCGCCAGACCAGTGGACAGGGGCATCCAGCTCAGGCTCGGTTGGCGCGCATGGCAGTCCTGGGGCGCGCGTGGGGGCACCAAGGGGCGACATGGACCGACGCGGACTGGAAGGCGAAGGGCAAGCGTTACTCTCCGAGAGGAGAACACCAGTACGCTGACAAGCGCCCGCGAGGGCGGGGCTCCCGACCCAGATGACGGGGGCGCAACGTGGATCCGCCCGGGTCTCGGCCATCCCCCCCAGGCGCGAAGAGGGCCGCAACGCTCGCTGACATGGCCCACCAACTCACGTGCTGCCTGCAGCGGTAGCACATGCCCCCATCCCTGCGCGGCATGCGCCGCAACCCCCCATCCCCAGTAGGTTTCACCTGCAGCGCCCGGCTTCTGCCGCAATGCCCTGTGCTTCCTCCTTTGGGGCGGAGGAGCGCCAATGCCCTTGCGCTGCGCGTTCAGACAGCCCGCGCTGGTCTCGTGGACCTTGCAGCGCCCTGCCTCGACCCATTACGCGCTGCCCTCGCGGGGGCGAGGGGCACCTGTGAGCGTCGCTGATAGACAGCCCACGCTGGAGACGTGGACCTTGCCAGGCCCTTCGCCCCCGCTGCCATCGCTGCGCGGGGGTGCGGCCACGGCCTCCATCACGGAGGCCACCGCCGGCATAGACTCTCGGGTCGTCTGTGCCCGCCCAGGGCTGCCCACTTTGGACGACAGTGACCGGTGGCTGAAATAACCCACCCCTGCGTTCCACCCTTTCTGGCACCGTGTACGGCAGTGGTCGGAGTAACCAGCTGCCGCACTACCAGCACTCAGCCCCAGTCGCCTCATGGGCTATGGGGCCGTCGGTGCCACCCCTCCAGGACAGCCTACTTTGGACGGCAAAGAATGGTGGCTGAAATATCCCACCTCCTGCGCTCCACCTCTTTGAAATAGCATATTGTACGACTGCGGGGGGGGGGGTCGAAGTACCGCTCCGCCCGCGATCTGACACATTCCCACGTGGTGTGGTAGCTCCTCGCGCGGGCGACCAGGATCGCCTATAGAGTTCAGCGGCCACTGGCTGCGCCCCCTCTTCCTTATCATTCACGATGTCCTTGCGGCTTTTGGCTGCGCCCTCCACCGGACGCGTTCACAGTGTCTCTGCGGCTCTTGGCTGCGCCCCCCATCCTGTTCGCCAAGATTGCACCAATCACTGCGAGTCAGGCGACTGGGCACCCCCCCCGCGCCCTGGGCTGTGGTGGCGACCCCTTCTCCTCCTTCTCCTCCTCCTCCTCCTCCTCCTCCTCCTCTCGCCCTTCATTCGCAATTATCTGCGGCTTTTGGCTGCGCCCCCCCTGCGATGTGCGTTGCGATCGATGAGGTGCTCCGCCCTGGGTCGGTCCGTGCTTGGACGCCCAGGGCGCAGCACCTGTGCCCAGCGGCATCTGCATGCACCCCCCCCCGTTCATTCACAAGTCTCTGCGGCTCTTGGCTGCGCCCCCCCCGCGATCACAGGCAGAGATAGCATCGTGCGAGGACATTGCGTCCAGGGAGCGGACAGTGTCGACCAACCCAGCAGGTGAGCACACTGACCTGTGGACAGGCTTCCGGCGACGGTCTGCCTACCCCAGCCCCGGGCGCACACGCCTTCCGCAGGGGCAGCGTGGCAGGTGGTGGACGGGGGAGATACCGCGCACCGCGCCGTACGAGCGGCCTGCATCGCCTGGTTCAGCCCTCAGCGGACAGGCGGTTGCCCTTCTCGGCGCAGCCACGCGCCTTGCCCTCGCCAGGGCATCACATTGGCGGGCCCCCGGACTTCGCGCGCCGGATACGATGTGGATACTGGCAATCGGCTGGCTGCCAGCCTGCGTACGCTGTCGCGATGCTGCAGTGGAGTGGGGTCAGCCCTTCCCCGTTGACACTGCGCTCAGCGGCAGGCGGTGCCACCCCCCACCTGCGTATCGCCCTGATCTACGTTGACCCGGTCATGGCGCTACCACAAGGACGTCGCTCCGGCTTCGTGAAAGGTGGAGATAGGCGTGTGCGCTCACCTCACTTCCGGTATTACCTGACGTCGGGCTTCACCAGGGAGTGGCCCTGCACGAGTGGTTCACCCTTCTGCAGTTCATGGCCGTTCCCCAAGCAGACCCGAGTCGCATCTGCCTCTGTCAGCACTTGCAACGTTCTGCACCGCGAGAGTCGGATACGTTGTGTACGCGCTGGCTATAGGCTGGAGGTGGCGATACCTCGTGTCCGCTGACTGGGCCGTCTTCCCTCTCATGTGCAAGGGTGGGCTTTGGCCGAGTTCTGCGACAGTGAGCCATGGTGAGTGAGGCTGCTCTCTGCGCCGCTTTTCCTTCTCTTACTGACGCTGTGTGCCTCGACTGACGTTTGCAGCGGCTCTCTTGCCCCCCTCTCGGCCTCGCTTCCGTGTGTCGTTCGGCCGGAGATTGGCGCCGACAGGGCGACTTCTCCCCGCTGTTACAGTGCACATGGCCTTGCCGTACAGCCGTTGCCGCCGCTCGTTGCGACGTGGCGCCCCCGCCCGCTGGTGCGACTTCTCCACGCTATGCGGCAGTTGCCGCCGCGCGTTGCGACGTGGCGCCCCCGCCCGCCGGGATGTCGGCGTCGGTCTACGGTGCTTAAGTTGGGTCATTTTGTCCCTTGCATGTGCATGCGCCTCTCCGGTTAATCATATTCGTCCTGCGCCCCGTTCGATGCGCCGCTTCCTGATCTTCGCCTTGGGGCCGCCAACAAAAAAAGTAAACCCACCTTTATGCTGTCGTGTCCCGTAGCGCCTCTGACTCCGCTTGCGCCTTCGCTTGCGGACGCGACCAACAAGTGAACCCACCAGTTGGGGCACTCGCGGCCCGTGTTACTCTTCCGACGCTTTTGGCGCGCTCGCCCCTTGCAGCGGAAAAAAGTAACCCCGCCAGCCGCTCTTTAGGCCGTAAGTTAGAGCTTGGCGCGGCTGCCTCTTCTCTTGACGGCGCGCGGTTGGACCGCGACGCTCTCGAAGGAAAGCGCAACCTCACCAGCCCATCCAGAAACTATGTCCAGAGGAATGCCTCGATCAGGGAAGTGGGCAGCACACAGAGGAAGGGCCCCCCAGTGGAGGCCTCTTGGAGCGTCTGGGGGGCCTTTTGGCGGTCCCGGACGCCTCTTAGAGCGTCTTGGGTGCTTCGGAAAGCTTCTTGGGGCCTCTTGGGGGTCTCTTTGAAGCCTCTTGGAGGCCTCTTGGGCGCCTGTTGGGGCCTCCTGGGGCCTCCTGGGCGCCTCTTTGGGCCCTCTTGAACCGCTCTTGGGAGCCTTGGGAACGCTCTTGGAGCCCGCTTGGGCCATCTTAGGAGCCATCTTGAGGCCTCGGATGGCCATCGGAAGCGAAAAGGCGAGAACGCCAAAAACATGGATGTTCCTAAGGTTTGGGAAGGATTTTGGCCTCTTCGGGGCCTCCTGGGCCGTCTTGGAGAGGTCTTGGGGCCTCTTGGAGCATCGTGGAAGCCATCCTGAGGCATCTTGGGATATCTTGAGCCATCTTGGAGGCCATCTTGGGCTCTCCCAGGCTCTCTCGGAGTCATCTTAAGCAGTGTCCGCCCCCCCCCCAGGAGGCCAACATGTGGCCAAAGCCTTCGTAACATCAATGATTTTGGCATTCTCGCCGAGGCCTCTTGGAGCGTCTTAGGTTCCCCTGGGGGGCCTCTTGGGGCCTCTTGGGGGTCTAGATTGGGAGCCTCTTGGGGGCATCCTGGGGGCCTCTTGGAGACCTCTTGGGGCCTCCTGGCCACCTCTTGGGGATTGGGACACTCTTGGGAGCCTTGGGGGCGCTCGTGGGGCCATCTCGGAGGAGACCGATCAAAGAAAGGGGGTTCCTTAATAAGCGCCGCCCCCCCCCAGGAGGCCCAAATGGGGCCAAACTCATAGTACAACAAATGTTTTTTTGGCTTCCTCGCCGAGGCCATCTGGACGCCCTGACCGCTCGCGGGGCGCCCCGTCCAGGTCCGGGGTGGGGGGGGGTAGGGGCAGGAGTCAAGCCACCCTCCCCGCCCGCATGTCGCTTCGTTCACTCCCACCCGCCCTCCCAACACATACGTAGCACCCGAGTCTGGCCCGAGCCTCAGCATATTCAGCAGTCGTCTTTGGATGGGCAGCTATTGGGGGCCAATCCGCCGCCGCCGCCGCCTCCGCCGCCGTTGCCGCCGCCGCCGCTGCCCGCCGCCGCGGCCGCCGCGCCGCCGCTGCCGCCGTCGCCGCCGCCGCCGCGCGCCGCCCGCCGCCGCCGCCGTCGCCGCCCACGCTGCCAAACGCCGCCGCTGCAGCCGCCGCAGCCGCCGCAGCCGCTCCCGCCACCGCCACCGCCGCTGCCGCCGCCGTCGCCGCAGCCGCCGCCGCCGCCGCCCCCGCCGTCGCCGTCGCCGCCGCCATCGCCGCCGCCGCCGCAGCCGCCGCCGACGCCGCAGCTGCCGCAGCCGCCGCTGCCGCCGCCAAGTGTACTCTGTATTGTTTTTTGACATGTATGGTGGGGGGAAGCCGCATCGGGTTGTTTGCCCATGCTCCGAATTTGGAGACAGGATGTGTGTTTGGTTGTTTTTTTGTAATGGGTGGTGGGGGGGTGCCCTTATGGTTCTTGGTTGGCTACCAGTCGCTTGTGGGAGGGGGTGTTCACTAATCGGGAACACGGATAAACCCTTCCCGAAGGGGAAAAAAGGGGGTTGGAAGAGGAGCCGCCCTAAACCACCTACGCCCAGAGGGCTGGTTGGATTCTGATAGGGTTCAAAGGGGATCCCAGTAGGATCGGATCCCAGTAGGATGCCCCCCTAGGAATTAATTTGTCGGTCCTGACGATATTCTTCGGCGGTTCCCCCGCCTCGGGCATGAATTCATCAGTTTCAGTGAGAGTGATAACGCCAGGGGGATCGCCCATTCGGGTTCAGAGTTATCCCCCCGTCCTCCATCCATTATTCTTCCGTCGCTCCCTCGCGCGTTTGGCTGCAGCCGTCCCGAATGGGGGCTGTTTGCGCGCACCCCTCCTTGACGCCACTGCTGATCGCACGGCTCAAGCCGTTCAGAGGCAGGGCTCGAGGTGCTCCACCCGGGGAGACGTGAGACTCGCGTGCGCCAGATTTCGGGTTGGCCGGCGCGTTTTGACGCGCGCGTCCTGGATTTCGACGGCCCAGTTTTCGTGAGCTGTCTGCAGCGGGAGCTCGCGTCAAACGTCAGGCTGGGACTCGTCATGTTCATGATGGCCCCGTTGGGCCAAACCCGAGTCCCCCGAACCCGAGTCCCACTTCTCCCCGATCCATGTTTGATCGTTCACCAGATGTGGAATTTGACCGGGTGGAAACATCTTCTTCTGCTGCTCCTCCACAGTGATAGCCAGGTGATCAATGATGCCAGAAGGTGCCTGGATTCCTCAACGGAGATTGCGAAGGCCTTGCGGCCGGTGCCGCCGACCCTGAAGACGACGACGCTGACCACGACGAGGCAGAAGCAGGAGGAGGAGGATGAGGAGGAGCCGCATGAGGAGGAGGAGGAGGCGGAAGACGACGCCCAGGAGGTGGAGGAGGTGAAGGAAGAGAAGGCAGAACGCGCCTGGATTCCTCCACGGAGACTCCCCTGCAGGCGATCCGCGGACGACTTGTGGGCACCGCCCCTCGTTGCCGTCTCCCGAGGCGCCGTCGATGCTCGTGCGGTGCATAGTTTTAAGTCGGGCGTGTCCTCTACAGGAGGAGTATTCAAATATAGTTTGAAACATAGTCTGGGGACTATTTTTTGACTATTTTTGAGCATTTCGTTTTTTTTTGTGGGGGGGTATTTTTAGTTCTTCGCCCGAACTCCCCCTGTAGGGGCACGTGCCCGACTTAAGCATAGTTTTCGTTTTGGCCCTCAGGGCCGAACCTGCCGTGCATCCTGCCGTGTCGGAGCGGGGCCTGCAGGGAGTCCAGAGAGAAAGCAGCTCGTGTGCGCCGTTGCCGTGCTCGACGCCTGCCCGCCCACGAAACGGGCCCGCTCAAGGCTGTCGCGCGGTGCGGGCTTCCGAAGCCCGCACCGTGCGATAAGCTAGCTGCCTTGTCGGCGGGCAGGAACAGCAAGTGGATCATTTAGGCGGCGCCGAGGTCAGGGAGGATGACGGGGCCAGGGATTCAGAAGAGTCGTCGACGAAGGATGCGATGGCAAGGAACGATCCGAACCGGCGCAGCCTCAACAAAACTGGGTCTTCCAACTCTTTAAGACCTGCCAGGAACGAGTGGTGCTCTTCTTGCTGGACCCCGCCACCTGGGCCTCTGGGGATTGTCACGCTGCTCGCCGTTCCCAGCCTCCGCTGGCGGGCGAGCGCTGCTCGCCGCGACCAGCGGCTCTTGGGTCGTCCAGTGTTTGGGAGCGCCTGGAGCCTCTCTTGGTGCGTCCGCGCGTCCGCGCCGCGGGGGCGGGTCGCACCCGGTGGCCTGCCAGGCGGCCTGGAGCTCTCAGGGGGAGGAGGGCCACAAGCGGGAGGCAGCCTGGGCTGGGGCGGTGAGTGTGTGGGGGCGTATAGGGATGGAGGGGGGATGTACGGAGGGAGGAGGCGGAAGGGACGAGGGAGAGGGAGGGACGAGGGAGAGAGGGAGGGAGGGGGGGAGGGAGGAGGTAAGCAGGATGGAGGTAGGACGGATAAACACAAGCGGCTATACGTAGTGGGAGGACAACCGGGGAAAGCCTCCGCTGGTCCCGACACCGACATCTCTGGAGAGGTCATCATAGTCTCTGCTGCCGCTATCGGCCGTGCAGGCCTCCTGCTCGTCAGCCGAGCGCGCCACCTGCCGCACTATACTTTCGACAACCTTGGCACGCGTCGCGGCCACGTGGGAGGCTGAGTGGCACGCTGCACCTATCTTTGCCAACCTATCGGCATGGTTGGATCCAAGTTTGGCGAAACGGCTGGTCCTACCCGCTTCGATTCGAAACGAGTGCGTTTTTGCCTTCACGCTCTGGGGAGGGTTATCGTCACACACACATGCACACACAGGCATGGAAGTATCTCGTCCACAGATGGGCCCGAAATCGAAGCTCTTCGCACACGGCAGGCATCGTAGGCAGCCCAGGGTACCGTCTCAATCGACATCAAGTGGCCAACAGCCCTGCGACGCCACTTCATCACTGGCCGCCTTCTCCGGCGCTGCCTTCCACGGCACCGCTCCACCCGTGCTCGTCCGCCGTGGCAGGCCCCCAGTCCGCCCTGCACCGCCAAGGGCGTCATGGGGCTGAGGGCCGACCCAAACTGTGGCCAGTCAACGCTTCGTCCAAAGGACGGTTAATCCAAATGACAACCTACCAGTAGGGGGCCACATGTGAACCCTACCCCTACCCCCCACGATTTCTGAGGGGGGGGTAGGGGTAGGGTTCACATGTGGCCCCCTAACCAGACCACCCCAACCCAGCCCGAAGACCCGACTTTCGGGTTTGGGGGGGTACGCAACACCACCACCAACAATCACTGCAAGACTGTTTGCTCTCATCTGCTCGCATGCCATTGAACGCGTATATCCCAAGCCCTCGATACCCACCCTCTTCGTTTTCGATCGTATCCCCTTGGGAGGATATCTTTCTCACCTGCAACGTGTAGTTCGTGCAGCACCTACGGCAGGGGAAGAGAGGACGGGTGGAAGGAAGGGACAAGGGGGAGGGAGAGGGATGGAGCACGAGAGAGTGTAGCAGGAGTGGGGCTAGGAGCTGGAAGCAGGCGGGCAGATCGGGCGGGGAGACCCTAGGCGGGCCCAGGCGGCCAGGTCGAGCAGGCGGGTTGCGGAAGCGTGCGTCCTGCATGAATCGCGAGGAAGTCTTGACCGACAGCACGATTCCAACATAAGTCTCGTGAGGGAATCCAGAGCGAGAGTGTGATTCCTGAGTGTCGAGGGCGCGGCGCCAGAGTCCATTGTGAGGAAGTCCCCAGCGACAGCGCGATTCCTGGTGTCGAAGGCGCGACCCTTTCATACATTGGGAGGAAGTATCGGGTGAGAGCGCGAGTCTTCTATCAATTCGAAGGAAGTCCCTAGTGAGAGCGCGCTTCTTCAATACATTGCAAGGGAGTATCAGGCGGGAGCCGTTGATGTTGTTGTTGTTGTCGTCGTCGTCGTTGTTGTTGTTGTTGTTGTTGTTGTTGTTGTTGTTGTTGTTGTTGTTGTTGTTGTTTTTGTTTTTGTTTTTGTTTTGTCGTTGTTGTTGTTGTTGTTGTTGTTGTTGTGGTAAACCAGTGGTCAGGGGCACAGTTTGAGCAGGACGATTTCCCCCGGTAAGACCACAGCGAGCCCCGGGAGGGGCACTTCAATTGAAAGAAACACGTTTGTTTCGCGAATGCGTGAGTCCTGCGTAATTCGCCTGGAAGTCTCGGGCGGGAGCGCGATTCCCGAGTGCCTTATGAAGAAGTCCGAGGCGAGAGCGCGATTCCGGAATGGCGAGGGCGTGGCTTCGAGTAAATTGCGAGGAAGTCACAGGCGAGAGCGCGGTTCTTGGATACATTGCAAGGAAGTAAGTCCCTTGCGAGAGCGCGATTCCCAAGTAAATTGCGAGGAAGTGCCGGGCGTGAGCCTTTGTTGTTGTAGTTCGGGGGCCAGGGGCACGGTTTGAGCAGGAAGATTTTCCCTGATAGAAGACTGGCTGCAAGCCTTGGGAGCGGCACTTCAATTGAAAAACACGTATGCTACCAGAGGGGGGATCATCAGTAATTATTCTTCAGTAGTGAGAGTTTAACACCAACAGCAGCCACGACGACGACGACTACGACAACAACAACACCAACAATGATACCAACAAGATCACCACCTTTAGCAACAACACCAACAACGACAACAACACCAACAGCAACAACGATAACACCAACACCAACAACCACGACGACGACTACGACGACAACACACCAACAACACCAACAGCAACACCAACACCACCAACACCAACACCAGCAACAGCAACACCAACAACAAACACCACGACTACGACGACTACGACAACAAGACCACCAACAACACCAACAATAACACTCATCAACACCAACACCAACAACAACAATACCACCAATAAAAAACACCACCAACAACACCAACAGTAACAACCACGACTACGAGTACGACAACAACACTACCAGCAACACCAACAACAACACCAACAACACCAGCAACACCAACAACGCCACCACCACCAACACCAACAACAACACCAGCACCAACAGCAACACCCAGGCCAACAGCAATCTCAAAATCAACAGCAACAACACCCATAACAGCAGCAGCAACACCACCAACGACAGTAACACCAACACCAACAACCACGACGTCGACGACGACTACGACAATTCCAACACCATAACCAACAATTACACCACCAGCAACAACACCAACACCACCACCATATACAACAGCAGCAATAACAGCAATGACAACACCAACAACAACACACACACAACACCAACAACAACCACAACAACAACAACAACGACAACACCACCACCAACAACAACAATACCCACGCCAATACCACCAACACCAACAACAACCACCACCACCAACAACACCATCAGCAACAACAGCGACGTCGACGACGACGACTACGACGACAACACCACCAACAACAACACCAGCACCAACAACAGCAACGCCAACAGCACCACCAACAACAACCACGACGGCGACGACGACGACGACTACGACAACAACACCACTACCAAAAAGACTAACAACAACACCAACAATAACATCAACAATAGCAAGAACCGCAACAACAACACCAACAGCATCATCTACAACAACCACGACGACGACGACTACGACAACAACACCACCAACACCAACAACACCAACAGCACCAACAATAATCACAACCACAACAACAACCCAAAAAACAATACCAACCACAACGAGCACGACGACGACTACGACTACGACAACGACAACACCACCAACAACATCACCAACAGCAGCAACATCAACAACAACACCAGCAACATCAACAACAACACCAACAACAACACCAACACGAACAGCAGCAACACCAACAACAACAACAACCGCCACGACGACGATGACGACTACGACAACAACAACACCGCCAACAACAACACCAAAACTATCAACACCAACAACAACCACAACACAATCAACACCAACAACCACCACGACGACGACAACTACGACAACACCAACACCAGCAACAACAGCCACAACACCACCACCAACAACAGCAACACCAACGACAACTACAACCACAAGGGACCGCTCCGCTCCCCAGGAGGCCCCCGCCCCCGCCTCTCCTCCCTCCGTCCCGCCTCGCCTCCTTTTCCTCCCCAGATCCGACGTTGCGAACGAAAAATCGCGGCATCGCGAACAGTCACGACCGGAGCCCTGGCCCCTATCCTTATGCGTCATGTTTCGAGCCGGGTCGACCTGTGATGGTCCCCCCGAAGCACGGCGAAAGCGCCCGTGGTCGAAGAATTGCAGCGCCCGGCTCT